CACAAAACACAACAGGAGCAATGTAGTATATGCGGTCCAATGCAAAGAGGAATCTTTGGAGCTCTACGCTGAAGAAACCAAACAGCCACTAAACAGGAGAATGGCCCAGCACAGGAGGGGCAATGGCTCAGGACCATAATCAGCATTGTTCCTTCACTTGAAGGGCAAAGGACACTCATTTGATGACCAAGATTTACTCATTTTGGATCAAGGAGATAGGTGGTTTGAGAGAGGGATCAGGGAGGCCATATATGTGCATATAGAAAATCCCTCATTCAACAGGGGTGGAGGCATTAGATATAATCTGTCTCCTGTTTATCATGCTGCCTTTTCATCTGTCCCCAGAAAGATTAGGAACACACACACCAGAAAGACCATTGTTAATGACTGTTAACGACCCATGACAATGGGTGGAGAAGGACTGCAGAAGTGGGATTTTCACTCACCCCCCTCCATCCTTTGTCCATCTAACAAGCCTATTTAGACCAGGGGGAAGTGAAACCAATGTGGAGGATCTATCAGGGATCTCCTACCAACTCTCCTTAGACTGAAGAAGCTACTGGGAGGAGTAGCAAAATGTTTCAACCTAACAAGAAAGAAGTCCAATTGCCATGACTCAGCTTCCAGATATAGAGGGTGGGAAAGCCACGGATACAGAGTGAAGAAAATAGCAAGGAGGAAAACGCTTTTCTGCTGGGCTCTTTGAGTGCCTGTCTGACAGGACATTTGTGTCATTAGAAAATTTTGTTTTTTAAAAAACCTGGTTTCTTGTGATATGAAAACATTTTTTTCCTGCAGCTTTTGGAAAGAGCTGAAAAAATTTGCATGTCTGCAATGCTGCCTCAACCACAGACAGTGAAAAGACTCCTTGCAGATAACCTCCCTTTTAAGTACAATATTGAGCAATGTACACTAAAAAGAGAAAAATACTTGTCTCTGGCTGTTTCAGAAAGAAATATGTGACTGCAAAAATGCGGTGGAGCAGTTGAGTGTTTTGTTTCTGCTGTTGTAAGCCCACACTGTGCTGTAGCAGGACAAGAAAAGAATTCCCCTGAAAAGGGGAAGGAGAAGAAATAGAAGACAAAGACTAAGATAAGAAAGATTCACTTTCAAGACTGATTTAATAGGGTAGACTTTTGTGAGCAACGTTCAATGTCCTTCCTTCCTTCCTTCCTTTTGTGAATGTGAAAAGATTTAATATCTATCATGTGCAACTCTTATCTGCAGTAATCCAGGTCTTCTCTAACACCAAGCTACAGACCACCACATTCTTCATTGGTGGACACATCTACATCTTGGAGATTTCCAGAGGAAGTGATGTGGTGCCTATCACATTCCTGGTAAGACATTCACTTGAACAAGCCTTGCAGTTTTTTAAAAACATGTTGGCATAATGTTTCAGAAGCTTATGGGAAAATATGAAGAATGTATTTCTGCATAGTTGTATTTTGATACATGACTTCAACAAACTTCATTTAGTTCATGGTGGTATATCTATCAACTAATATGGGAATCACTGTCGTTAATATACCTTGACATTTATTTTATTTATTTATTTATTTATTTTATTTAACTTATATGGAAGACCACACTATCCAAAGGTCTTCTGGGGAGTAGCCTGTTAGCCTGTACAGCAAAATTAACCAGGTGTGTTGGGGCACCTTAAAGGATAATAATTTTCATTTGCCACTGGATTGGGACCACTAGTGGTGATTTGACAGTGGTTTTCCAATATTAAAGGCTCTCCGCACCCATCCCAAGGTTCTCAACGGATCTTCAAGGGCAAAAGGGATCCCTAGGGAGCCTCAGAACCTGAAGAGTAGAGATTGGAATATTTTAATTTAATTAAAGATTTCTGTCACTGCATGCTATATAAATTTACACCAACAGGATCTCAGCCAACATGTGTGTGCAGTGTGAGCAGGTGCAGACAAATTATTACGGTTCATGGGTGTAATATTCATATGAGGTGTATTTATTTATTTTTTAAAGGAAATCTTATACCAGTATAGTGAAAGTTGGTGCTTTAGCTACTCACCAGATCTCGGGAGATGAAAAGCTTTCCCTTTATTTTTATTATTCTTATGGATTTTCCCCCTTTAGGAAATGTACAGATGAGATGAGGTAAGTCTGAAGAAACACAAAGGGAGTTTCGATTTATTTAATCTCCTATCCTCCATAAAGTTACCTCACAGTTCAGAAAGCCATCTTGGGAAATGTTGACTTTTGTGGTGTTATGCTGCTTAATAAATGGAATACTATAAATGTTACCATGTATGGGTGTACTAACACTTTCTCCACAATTAATTCATCTTTCTTCTTTCCAGGAGATATCTAGGCTTCTTTCTAGCCATGTTCTTATTGCTAAAGTCACTTGAAGTGCAAGCTGTGGTTAGCTACAAGCCAAACATTGTCATCTTCTTGGCAGATGACCTTGGCATTGGGGACGTAGGTTGCTATGGAAACAATACAATCAGGTAAATGCTTCAGCAGAGGTGTTATATTCTGTTATATCTCAAATGTTGTATCTCAAATGAAATACCCTGGAAGGTTGGTAGATTTTGCATGTACACACAGATGGGTTAAGTGAGACATGGTTGCAGAAGCAGAACATTGCACAATATATTTTTTCCTTTCCCTTTTTGGTATTAGCTGATTTATATTTATAAATAAATAAATAAATAAACAAACAAACAAACAAACAAACAAACAAACAAACAAACAAACAAACAAACAAACAAACAAACAAACAAACAAACAAACAAACAAACAAACAAACAAACAAACAAACAAACATAAATAAATAAATATTTAGAGATCTGGTCCCTTTTGAGTGGTGTTTTATTAGATTATTATTACTGTTTTATTAAATGTCTCTATGATGTTGCTATTATGTGTTAGCCACCCAGAGTAGTGGCCCAGCCACTAGATGAGTGGGATAAAAATTTATTAAGGTAAATATTTAAAAGTGTGTGAACAAGCTGTATAAATGTGCACCATATATGTGTGAGTGTGTGTATGTCTGTGTTGCTTTTTCATGCTTGGGGATTCATGTTTATGTTGTAGGTGATGTATCTTGCCCTAGATGTCCAAGTTGCTATTTACAGCTCTCATGGCAAGGAACTTCCAGAAGCTCTCAGCACTGGCTTGAGGGAGAATGATGCCTTTCCCACAAAAATCATCCACAAAATGTAGTGTCATCAGTGCAACTCCCATTTATATGGTTGCGCAAAACTAGGGTTAGGTACAAGGACAATGAATCCAATGTCACTGAGACACAGTTTGGTGCATTATCCAGTTGCAGCACAACAAAGGCTGTCAATCTTGCTTTCAGCCTCACACAACAAAACATGAAACAAATGTCACTGTAACTTGAATAGCTCAGAGTCCTCATGTTTGCATTTTTGGATTGCCTCAGAGATGAAACTCAGTCTAGAATTCAGCCGAAAAATTATCCGACAAAAATGTTGAGCTTTCTCATTCAATTTGATAGAAAAGAATTTAGTTTCAAAAGAATCCAAAAGAAAAATAAATTTTAAAGTAACCGTCATGGGCGAGTGTCAGGATTTTGGTGCTTTTCTTTCATACCTATATCAGAAGTGTTTGCCTAGTTTTCAATTGGTTGGAGTCATTTTAAATTATTTATTTAACTGATAATAATGATAATTTGATCACAGTAGTAGTCAACGTCTGGAAGTCTAAGGGTCACATACATCCACCCCAGACCTGGAGGGCAGCAGGTGCTCTGGCACACCTTTCCACCTTGAAAAAACAGTTTCTAAGAAGGTGAAAGAGCAAGAGGAGGAGGAGAAACCTGAAAAACCCTCTGTGGTCTTTGTAGGGACAGTTTTGCCATTTTGGGCTGTTCCTGACATGTTCCGTGTGACTACCAGAGAATATACGTAGCAAAATATTGCTATATTCTCTGTGGGAGAGAATATGGCAAAAATTTGAGCCCCTGGAGGGGCACATGGTTCCCATGGGCTACTCATTGTCCACCCCTCTTTTATTGTGTGCAATCTGTCCCGAGATCCTTTGATATTATAACAACATCAACAACCACAAAAATTTGCCATCAAGTCCATGCCAAAATACTGTGAGTCTTTGCAGAGTTTTCTAGATATAGAGGTGTTTTACGTTTCCCTTCTGTGAGTGCTCTGGCTTGTCTAGGATTACACAGGAGACACAGTGCAAAACAGAATTCCTCTGGCTAAAGGCAGATAGATTAATAGATCAATAGATAGATATGAATGGAGCATCTTGCATAAAGTATTGCAGTATTTTGTAAGTTCTTATATATTTGGCTAAATGTCACTCATTATGTGGATGTTCTTTTATAGGACTCCTAATATTGACCGGCTTGCAGAAGAAGGAGTGAAACTTACTCAGCACATTGCTGCATCTCCTTTATGTACTCCAAGTAGAGCTGCTTTCTTAACTGGAAGATATCCAATCCGATCAGGTTTGCTATGTCATTTGATGGTGCAATCTAGTTTTCAGTAAGGAACAGTTTCCTCAGGCTGACATGGGGAAAAGTCCTTTACATTAATCCCAGCTGACTGAAAATTTGTTGGACTGAAGAAGAAAGATAAATATTTTGCTTTACTGAGGTTATCACATAGTTCAATGGTTTCCATCAAGCATGCTGTCAGTATGCAAATATCTCATAGCACGTCAGGCCATGTTCCTGCCTGAGACTAAGAGCACCACAATTCTTTGCTTATTTGGTGTACAAAACAACTAGACTGAGAAATGGATCAGTAGGGTGAGTCTCACACTGTATTTTCATTCCATTCCTACACAGCAAGGAAGGGACAGAAATGCATAGTATTGCTTCAGGACTGTAGTCAGCTAATCTATTAAAGTTCACAGTTATAGACGGAACTAATTACTCCTTATATGTATACTCTAAATCACAGGTATGGATGCAACAGATCGTTATCGGGTCTTTCACTGGCTTGCTGGTTCAGGTGGCCTTCCTCCAAATGAGACAACCTTTGCCAAGATCTTACAGAACCAAGGTTACAGCACTGGCTTAGTAGGTAAGAGGACAGATATATAACAATTGGGTGCAATAAAGAATGCTCATTATTGAAAACAATGACTCAACTCTTCTTGCTTAACATAGTAAGGTACACTAGAGTGGGCCCACTGAATCAGTGCAGATTTGGTGAGACAGCTGCTCCGTAGGTTCCACTGATTCCGATGGGCCTACACTAGTTGCATCTTACTTAGTTACAACTAAAGTAAGCCCAGTTGGACCAATGGAAATGACAGAGGAGTTGATTCATTATATCTCCACAGATGTAATGGGCCTGCTCTGGTGCCACTTACTATCCTAAACAAATGGATTTTAGCCACTGGTTTTATAAGGATAGAAAATACTGGCTCATCAAAAATCCACTTCTCACCAAGTGGTTCTAATTGGGGCTTTTGAATATGACGGTAGTGTTACAATCACTCTGGCAATAATCACATAGGCCTTACTCTGGGAGGAACAACAAACTGAATTCAGGCCACCATTTTTAAAAGAAAAAAAATATTGTATGCATTGTTCATCTCCCTTTTTAATATTAAAGTTCCAAGACAGTTCAGCAAAACAGAAGAGTGTGGAACAACGAGAAAACAAGAATTTAAAAGTACCTTGTAAATAGCACATTGTAATAGATAACTAATCAGAGAGCTAACATAAAGAGAATACAAGAAATAATAAAAAGTATGTCTGAGTGAAAAGATTTTCAAAAATGGTCTTAAAAATGCAAAGGGGATGGAAAGAGGGTTGACAGACTTCCCCAGGAAATTTCCACAGCCGTGGTGCCTCCAGCAGTAGGATCAGCTAGTTAGTCCCATTTGGGAATTCACTTGAAGTCAGAAATTCAAGGAAACCCCTGATTTGTGTTACTAGGAAAAGAAAGGTATTCATCATCACAGTGGAAGCTCCAGTTCCTTTTTAAACCTAAACTGAATCCTCCCAGTATTGAATCCCCTAGCAGTGTCAGCAGCTTCAGTAATGGCGGTAGACTTAGGGAAAAAATAGATTGTTTGGACGGCAACTTTCAGAATTGAGTAGCCATGTTGGTAGGGGGATTCTGGTAATTGTTTTAAAAAAACTTTCCAAACTCCATGGAAGACTAAGACGTTTACATAAGGCTGCCTTCATAAAACTGCAGCTGTATGAAGGCTGTAGCCAGATTGCAAGTGAGGTCTTGCTATTCACAGTAAATAGCTCCGTCATGGTTTTCACTCCCAAAATGTTTCCATTTATGTTCCCAAGCCCAATACAAAGTGTCATTTTTCACCTTTAAAAGGATGGAAGGTTTGGTTTCACAACATCTAAAAGCTGACCTTATTCCAAACAACAGCAACAAGTCGGAACTGACTTATAGCATTCCTAATAGGGCTTTCAAGATAAGTGAGATATTTAAGGAGAGGTTTTACCAGTTCCACTCCCTCCATACATTTCCATGGCTGAGCGGGGATTTGAACCCTGGCCTCCAAAATCTTAATCCTTCAGTCTATCCACTACACACCACACTGGATCTTCCTAACTATGTGATCCTGCCATTCTGTGTAATTTGATATAAGTTTGTAATCTATACCCCACCACAGTCTTGTACTGCAAAAGATGTGTTATATGATGCAGGGCCATCTTGATTTAGATGTTGGAATTACTTTTTGGAAGACACTTCTAGCCCCATGCCATTCAGGATTTCACAGGTTAGTGAAGACAGCCTTGTTCAGGCAGAGTTTTGCAATTTGAACTAATTTGCGTACCCACAGAATGATCTCCTTCACTTAGCTTGATTCTGGACTGATTTCTCATAAAATACCATCTAGGAATATATAATAGGGGTATCTATTCATGTCTTGCTATTTCCCCTAAGAGAGATTTTATGTCTGAAACAACCTAGGAAACTTGAAAAGCAGTTTGCCAACAAACCTAATGGCTCGAAATATTATCGTCCTTTCTTTGCCAATTCTGTTTTTCAGGGAAGTGGCATCAAGGTGTGAATTGTGAATACCGTAATGACTACTGCCATTATCCCTTAAATCATGGATTTGATTATTTTTATGGAATGCCATTTACCCTCATGGGTGATTGCCATCAACTTCCAGAGATGGACTTGCCACTGCGAATAAAACTATCATCTTATACTCAGATGATTGTTCTGGCTGTGTTTACTCTTATAGCAGCAAAACTTACTCACTTGGTGCAAGTCAGCTGGAAACTTATTTTTCTTCTGGCTTTGTTTGGCTTCATATTCTTCATTTCTTGGTTCTCAAGCCTTGGATTCATTAGACTCTGGGACTGTATTATGATGAGGAACTATGAAATTACAGAACAGCCAATGATGGTAGAAAGAGCGGGACCTCTTATGCTGAAGGAGGCAATTTCCTTTATTGAGAGGTAAAATAAGATTTCTTTTATGAATTATTTCAAGTCACAAATGTTTGAGATAAAATGAAGTAGTCACGCAGACTTTTTGAAAAATGCACAGAATTTTAATATAAACAGGAAGCAAAAGCCAAGCATTATAAGCTGTCTGTTTTCTTGTTTCCATCCACAAAATGGTTCCGTTGTTTCTCCAGTTTTGGAATTCTTGGGCCATTTCCTCTTCATATAAAGAAGATAAAATGTTTCCAAAGGTAGAAGCTGCCCAATCAGTTGCATAATTAGTCAGCATCAGATTTGATCAAAAAACATGCATCTTGATTGTCCTCTTATGTGTAGTACCTTCAGATACTACCAAGGAAGTTCTTTAGAATTTGCTATCATTAACTATTTGATTTTATATCATTCCTAGCTTCCCAGCAGGTGGGAAGGATGAATAAATAATTTCCCATTTATTTATTTATTTATTCTATTTATACCCCGCCTATCTAGTCACTTATGACCACTCTAGGCGGCTACCATATGTCTACAGTCTTAACATGCCAAGATGATGATGATGATGATGTGCCATCAAGTCAATTCTGACTCATGACTATGCTTTTCATGGTTTTATACTCAGAAGTGGTTTACCATTCCCATCTTTGGGTGGCTCTGGGACGATGTAGCTTGCCCGTGGCCACACAGGCTGGCTCTACTCACAGGGGAACCGAACTTCCAACCTCTGGTTTCACTGCCAGATACCGTGTTTCTCCAATAATAAGACACTGTGGTTTTTATTTCAGGAACAAGCAAGGACCATTCCTACTGTTCTTTTCTTTTTTGCACGTTCACACACCTTTGGTCACCATGGAAAATTTTACTGGGAAGAGTAAGCATGGATTGTACGGTGACAATGTTGAAGAGATGGACTGGATGATAGGTAAGGGGATCTTAACAAATGGGATGTTTATTAGCACACTTAATTGCTATTATGTGGCATTGCAGGGCTTCTATTTTTTTTTAATTTCATTGATTGATTGATTGATTGATTGATTGATTGATTGATTGATTGATTGATTGATTGATTGATTGGATGCCAAAAGGTAGAATTCTGGGCATTGCAGTTTACAAAGATGCACCTACAGATACCTGTATTTCACTGAATTGGAGCAGAGCCTCCCTTGCATGGCTTCCTCTGCTTCTTGCTGTTAATATTTTAATGAAGAAACTGCCATGGTACTTCTTAAGTTCTCCATAGTTCTTTAGGAGGCACCCTCTATAGAGTGTATAGGGCTGTGGGATTTCAGCAGCGCCAGGAAACATCATAGAAGCTTCCTATCCCTGCTGCAGATGAGCAAAACATAGATGCTGTAGGTATGTGTGGGTTGAAACCCCCAAAATTCTGCCTGGAGAATTCTTGGAGAATTCTGGGAATTGCAGTCAAAACGTGAAAATGCACATCCGTTCTTCTGGTTTACAGCAACCATCAATGGGTTTTTTAAGATATATGAACAATTTGAAAAGTGGTTTATCATTGCTATGCTTTTATGGCCAAGTGAACTCAGGCCTCTTACTACTATACTACACTCATGCTCTATTAACAAGCAATTTGGTAAATGCCAGGCCACTACTTGTTTAAAGATGAAGATGACAGATTTTTCACTTACACCACAATGCTTTTTAAAATAATTTCAACAGAACATGTGAGGAATACAATATAGCCAACACTTCTATGGAAAAATCAGTAGGATTTACTCTCAAGTCTTAGTGGGTAGGATAGGGTTTTTGTTATGAATCTCATGACTCTATAAATCTACTATACAATATAAATAGTGCCTTCCAACTATTTTCAAAAAATTATTCTAATACGGTATCACCCTGAGTTAAAAACCTGGTTATGAAAAACAAAAATAGCTACAGCTACTACAATTTAGAAATTTAACATTTTAAGTCATATCTGCACTCAGCATTAAGCACTTCTGCTTTCAATATTTTCCCATTTAATAACATAGAAAGAAAGGATGCTTCTTATTCTTTTACATATATCTCTCACTTATGAGAAGGTCTTTTTTTTCCCAAAGTAACTTGAATGACATCTGAAGTTATTGCTCAAACATCAGATTCTACATACAAGTACTTCAAAAGCACTAATTCGACACAGTAACAACTTGTAGCTGGGAAGCAAGAGGTAGCATTTGAACTATGCTTTCTGGGTCCTCTTTCAACAAGAAATAAAAAGCAACATTAACTCCTTTTAAAGGATGTTGCTATCTATTGCAATAAGCATCTCTGAGTTCACTTTACTACATAGCAATGTGTTCCCAGGAACTTCATGAAAAACTTTGCAACTTTTAAAAGGAAGGTCATTGATCTATACTTGGGGTATGTGGCTAAGTGTGGGGTTTAATGATTTCACTCAATGTATAAAACTACTCAGATTATCACCAGAAACTGTTACAGGGATCAAGAGTTTCACCACTTCAGCTATGCCACTATTCATTTACAGGAAGAATTTTGAACGTACTTGATGATTACAATTTGAAAGAGAGCACGTTGACCTACTTCACCTCTGACCATGGTGGACACTTAGAAGCCCAGGAAGGAAATGCACAGCGAGGTGGATGGAATGGCATATACAAAGGTGAGAATCCCAAGTGTCTCCACTGTGCTTTGTAGAAGACTTTCTATTGTACATATTGAAAAATCCACCAAATAAAAGCATGCATTTAAATATTTGAAGGACCAAAAATAAGGATGAGGGGCAGGCCCACTGTCTCTGTGCATGGGCTACTTTTCAGTGGGCAGCACATGTGCAGTCCAAGTCTTTTGGTCCATATCTCAAGTCCCAAGACTCAGGGGGGAGGACAAACAACTTGAGACTCAAACCTGAGGCTTGGGACTTGGGTCCAAAGACTCAGACGTGGACTTAAGACTCGAGTCCCAAGACTTGCCAACATCCCTGGTATCCTTTTGGATAGGCAGCATGGATTGAAGATTGAGATCTTCTGCTTCTGTAGCTTCATCCCTGCCTTAAGATCTGAACTTACAAAGTAATACCAGAGAATTACTACTCTCTTGCACCTATGCTATCATGTCCCACACAGTTCCACCTTCACCTTGATGCCATTGAATATCATCATGTGGTTGAATGCTATTGAAAAAAATACATAATTTAAGAAACTTCTCACTAAGGTCATCTCCCAAAATAGTGATCACATCCAGCTCTCCTTCAGCTTTAGAGCCAAAGTATGTATATTAGTCCCATGTTTTTTTAAAAAAGGCACACTTGTTTGGGTTGCTGCTTTAATTTTGGAGGAAAAGAAAGCTGCAAGGCCTCAATCCGGCAGAAGCTGGTATTGTGCTGTGAACCATCTCGGGACTGGCTACTAGCCGTCCTCAAGAATTCTGCTTCCTGGTTAAACAACCATGACTACAGAGCTATCACCTGGGAATTGGCTTTAGGAAAATTTTTGGATCACCTAGTCATCAAGCATTTAAGATGACGAACTAGCATAGGATTTATCTATGTACTGTGGCAATCACTATATTGACAGAATTTATTTTCTGTACCAAGAGAAAATAAATTTAAATAAAATGGATCTCTGTACCTTCTTATTTATTAATACGATCATGAGGAAAACTAAACTTGGATGTGAAAGTTTGAGTGGAGAATATTTATTATTTCATAACTTATGCTCTTATGATGATTCTAGGCGGGAAAGCCATGGCAGGCTGGGAAGGCGGAATCCGTGTCCCTGGTTTGTTTAGATGGACAGGAATGCTACCTGAGAGAAAAATTATTGCTGAACCCACAAGTCTCATGGACATTTACCCTACACTTATTCACCTGGCTGGTGGGACAGTACCACAAGACAGGTATGGATGGTGTTGATCTGTACTCATTTCATAAATTTTGGGTGGGGTGAGGGGGTTTCACAGCATTTTGAACATGGACTGTATGCATCTCTTCAAATATTGATTTACAACAGATATAGGCAAAATGTATCCCTAGGATTTCTGTGGGCTCCACAGTTCCCTCTTATTGCAATTATTGAATTGCAGTTGCTAGGCAGCTCCAAGAATGGTGATTTGCCCTTTTTAGATGTCACAGAATCCCCTCATACCATTTCGCACTGGGAAATATCAACTTTTCAAAATGGTAAGTAGAATAATATGAATCAAACTCTATGGAAGATAGGGGGGCCATACTGTAAATTAAGATATGCAGATGACACCATTTTACTGGCAGAAAGCAGCGACAGCTTAAAATGACTTTTAGTGAAAGTTAAAAAAGAAAATGCATAAGCAGGGTTACAGTTGAACATTAAGACAAAAACCATGACTACAGAGAAGAACTACACAATTTTAATGAGGCAATGAGGAAATTGAAATAGTGAAAGGTATACTTTGGTTCAATCATCAATCCAAAGGGAGACTGCAGCCAAGAAATCAGTAGAATGAGACTCATAGGAGCAGGAATGAAAGAATTAGAGAAGCCCATCAAATGTACAGATGTATCACTGGAGACCAAGACCAAAATAATCCACACTCTTGTATTCCTGATCATCATGCAAAGGTATAAATGCTGGACAGGAAAGAAAGTTGACAGGGAAAATGATTTGTTTAACATATGATTCTGGAGCAGAGTTTCCAGATACCCTGGACTGCCAAAAAGACAAGCAAGTGGATCCTAGATCAAACCTGAACTATCTCTGGAGGCAAAAATGATTAAACTGAGGCTGTTCTACTTTGGGCACATCATCAGAAGGCAAGATTTGCTGGAAAAGGGTCACCATATGTCAGAGGTGACTTGATGGCCCTTAACAACAACAGTGAATTTCCAGCCATTTATGGTTTCCTTTTTCTTGAGGGGAGTAGTCATGGTATATGCAGCCCCTAGAGAGTCCTGGGGGCAGAAAATTACCCATTACTGTTTTATAATATAACTACTGTCTCCGTTGCCTGTGGCTAAGCGTGCCTAAGTGAACTCAGCAGTACATTGTTGTTGTTTAGTCGTTTAGTCATGTCCGACTCTTTGTGACCCCATGGACCAAAGCACGCCAGGCCCTCCTATCTTCCACAGCCTCCCAGAGTTGGGTCAAATTCATGTTGGTAGCTTTGGTGACACTGTCCAACCATCTCATGCTCTGTCATCCCCTTCTCTTCCTGCCTTCACACTTTCCTAACATCAGCGTATTTTCCAGGGAGTCTTCTCTTCTCATGAGATGGCCAAAGTATTGGAGCCTCAGCTTCAGGATCTGTCCTTCCAGTGAGCACTCAGGCTTGATTTCCTTTAGAATGAAGCACTTTGATGTCCTACATCAAAGAGTACCTAAACAAACTTTGGACGCCAGAGCATTTCAAAACCTGTATTCTAATATTCTTCTGAAGACTTGGAGGTGGTGAAGTGATTTTCTCTCTGGTTGGTTTCAATGGTACAGTAATGAAAGAAGAAGGAGAAATACACTCACCCCCACCCACATCCTGTACTAGACAATAGAAGACATCAGGGCTTTGGAAGTGGTAATACACCTGCCACAGCCTTGCTGGCCCACAGTATTGCTCTTTTAACCTGTGTTCTGAAACACGTAAACCTTCACTCATGTTCCCAGTGAAGCTGAGGTTTTGAGGTAAAGGTTCTGGTCAGAAATGTCCTGTGTTCCTCCACAAGAGAAAATTTCCCATTCTCTTCAGTGGAGTGCGCATTTATATGCATGTGAATGTAGACAAAGAAGCTTTTGTTCTTGGAGACATGGGTGTGCACACAAGAGCTTTCAGACACACAAGGATTTAAAATCAAAAAAATGTACTGGGATAAATCTTAGCAGATGAATTGGATATATGTTTAGGACCGACAAGTTCTCATTTCCTAAGAATTTCTATTGTGGGTTAGAAAATTAAAGCCAGAGCAAATCGTGTTGTTTTCAAACATGAACTAGCAGTTATCTATCCTCCTCCTCCCACTCAGGATGTTCAAGACTGAATGTGGAACTAATCCAAATGCAGTTCATTGGAAGTGATCTGATTCTGTCTCTCTTAATCCTTTCAGGGTAATTGATGGTAAAGATCTGATGCCTTTGCTGCTGGGACTAGTTGAGCACTCAGAGCACGAGTTCATGTTTCACTACTGTGGAGTAAATATACACGCAGTGCGGTGGCACCAGAAGGAGAGTAAGTATAATGGCTTCCACTATACACCGGGGGGGGCACAACTCTATGCTTTTTGTTAAATGACCTTTAATGAAATAATGTCTTCACCTGGGGGGGGATCCCTGTTTTCAGAAGTAATGGTGTTCAGCCAGGCCCTACTCCACAATGACCAGGATGTGACCCAACATTGGTCATTTATGTTGTCACTTTCTCATCAGAATAATGCCAGTAGCCTCAGGCCTAGCATCCGATTTAATACTGGTACCTTGAATAACAATTTTATAGCCTGTTACAAGCAAAATGCTGTGTCTTCAAATTGTTGGATTCAACATTTTGTAAACTGCAGCCCACTTCATCTGATGCATGCATGCATGCATAGAGTAAAGTAGATGGCGGCCCATAAACATGCATTGCAAATTGAACTGTTCGTGCCATGTTCAGAGAAATACTCTCGCAGCATTTTCTTCCCATACCAAAATCTATTTTGCTTTGCATGGCTCTAGAATTAGATATGCAAAGGAATCTGTTGCTTACATTCCAGAGATAATCCAGATGACAGGTGTGCTTCTCCTTTTAGTGTATGTTCATCATGATGATGCCTTTTTGCCAACTGAGGGAGGTCCCAGTCTAGAAACGGATGTTCCTGAACACATGCTGTGGCTTTCAGTCATTAGGGTGCCACAAGATTCTTTGCTGTTTTGGTATCAACCGTCTAGCATGGCTCCTCCTTCCTTCAAAATGAAAAGGCCAGCACAGTACTTAGTCTTGAGAAGGCCTCAGGATTTGAAGTTGTGATTTCTCTTTTTATTGTGAACCTATTTGCCTTTAAGCTATATCCAATATCTACTACATTATCTCTCTTGTATTCTTTTGATTTATGCCTTGTCAATTGTATTTTTCTATACCACAATACAAATGTACAAAGAACTTAGAGGTCTTCAAGGAGGCTGCAAGGGTCCCAAGCATTCAGTTGACCTGTCTTCTGTGGCATGTATTTAAGAGCTGGTCATTTGCACATAAATCTATTCACCAACCGCTACAAACATCAAGCTTGAAAAGACAGTATTCCTTACCATGTCTGATATTGCAGGGGGATTTGTTACCTTTCAAGCAAGTTATCGGTACCCTTAATATCAAACCTGGGTATAGCCCTTCGTCTTGACAATACTGGGTGTTAGCAGCACAAAGGCCCAACTCTTTCTGGACAAACCTGGAGCACATCACACAAAACCCAGCTGGCATGTATGCAATCTGAAAGATAAGGCAATGGCTCCAAGGGATCAAACTAGATGATAGTCTGAGCACTTTTTAAAAGCAATGTGTTCCCTCAAATGAGGAAAGCCTTCTTTTCCTCCCCTCTATATATTACAGTACATTTAGGCATGCTTTGTTTTCTCACGAGCCATTGAAAAGTAAATGTGAACTTGCTTTGCAAGTCCGATTCTCGGGGGGGGGGCAGGAATGCCTGTTGCTGGAAGAACAGTATAGTACTTGCAGGGAACATGCATTTCTGCTAATGTTTTGTTTGACCCAGTATATATGAAAACGCTGGGAGGAACAATAATAATGCCGGAACAGTTGCATTAGGCCACCTTGGGTGGCCTGTTTCACTGAGGTATCTCACTAAGAAGAGCAAGAAGACTTTTCTTTTATGAATTCACCAAGAGTTTGTGGGGACCATGAACTAATCTCAGCAAAGTTCAAGGAAAAGGAAGCAAGGAGAAATTGTACTTCAGACAGCTTTGTTGCTTCTGTGTGGTTGCTCCCATTATACCAGCTAAACTATGACAGACACTGAAGCAGTGTCTAGTATATAATTATTTTTTTAAAATAGCAGAGGACTGCAGTTGACAGACAGCATAATTAAAACCTGTTTGCTGCAATTGCCAAGTGTGGGGAGGCCAGCTATGTCAATGAAAATCAACCTGTGTACTACTTTAGCTACCTATAATCTGCAAGAGCGGGGTTTCTGATTGTAAATGTATCACATTATGCAGAGTCTTCACCCATTTTAACCATGTTGTCTCTTTCCCATCAGCTGGAAGTACCTGGAAAGCTCATTATGTGACACCAGTTTTTCAACCAGAAGGTTCTGGAGGCTGTTACAAAACTAGGTTTTGCCCATGTTTCGGCAAAGGTGTAACACGTCACAATCCTCCTTTGCTGTTTGATCTCTCGAGAGACCCTTCAGAGGCTGTGCCCTTGTCATCAGATCCCGAGCCACTGTTCCACATGGTTCTGCAGAGAATCGACAAAGCTGTGGAGGAGCACCAGAAGACTCTCACGCCCGTCCCACAGCAGCTCTCCGTCTTCAACATTATGTGGAAGCCATGGTTACAGCCTTGCTGTGGGACCTTCCCATTCTGTCAGTGTGACAAAGAAAAGGACAACATAGAAAATGAAAAATAGAGTCAAAGTTCTATGTGATGAATTATACCTTTTGGACCAAAAACACTTTTTTCAGGACCAAAGTTCCCCTCATCTGGTAGATGACAACAATAGCAGCAGGAACTGATAATAGAAAGATCAATAAAAAGAAAACAGAAGGCCAGAAAATTGTAGTGTATTTTACTGATTAGTAGGGCTGAGAGTAAAGCTGTAAGCAACCTCAGTTTAACCTGTGGCATAGAGACCAAGCCTTCAGTTTGAATATCCTCAACATACTGATGCGAAGAGCCAAACCAAGAAATTCTGTGCCAGTGTTATGCAAGATTTGGGATCTGTAGCAAACCACATTAAAGGCAGGGGAGAATGTGAAAAAAGTCTGCCTAATTTCACTTCATAAATGCCCTTCACCAATACAGTGGTTAAAAACAGAACTCGTTCACAACTGATTCAACACAGGCAGAAAAATGTTTCTGCTCTTTTTACTGCATGCATATGCCAGTGGTGACCACTGCCTTCAGGGGTAGAAAACTAAGGTAGGGCAAAGCAGAACAAATTTTTGATATTATTCACAAGCAAAAAGACCTCTGAATATTGGGAGTTCATACACTGCGTTTATATATTAATCTGAAATTAAGTTTTAAAAAGCAATGATAATGATTGATAGATTTAATTGGGATATGAGATAATTTCATCAATATTTTATCAAATAAAGGGAAAGGGCAAAAGCCAGGGCAGGAATATATATATATTTTTGGAAGGCATGAGGAGTTAATTAAAAGTTAAATGGAATTTTGTTGTAAAAGGAAAAAAGTGTACTGTACTGTGTTAATGGACGGTCCCTTGGTGAGGGGCGTACTATTGTTTTGTAGTTTTTCTTTTGTATGTAAGATTTGAAGGTGGGGTAAATAAAACAATTTTTAAAAAGAATATTGGGAGTTCAGTTCCGCACTGAGCCTCCTTGATATGGGCTGGACTCGATGAACTACATGGTTCCAAGATGATGATAATGATGGTGATGAACATGTTTTGATAAACATTGTGCCTCTCTGTATGAGCTCAGGTCTTCCTCATTCATCCACCAGAGTCTTTTCACTTGCCCCTTCTCTTTGAACAATCACCCAAACAACTGCCTGAGGTAAAGCACAAGACAAGGTCAACACTCCATCTCCTTATTCTTGGTATTGCTTTCCCACACAATACCATATATGGAATATATGGGGAATATATGGAAACCCCATTATGTGACCGCAGGTTTTTAAGCAAGTGAAGGGGCAGCAAAGCCAGAGGTTGACAGGTGACCAATCAAACCTGCCAGTACTTAGGCCTCAACCCTTGATGCATGACTGATGTTCTGCGAGCGTTGCTTTGGCACATGTGCTTATCCTGTTAATCTTCTGGCACTGGCAGCAATAAAGAGGGTTTGCAGCATTTCAAAAACCTCTTCTTGACTCTTCCATTTGGATAATAATTTGCAGCAATGAAACTGCATTACACAAAGAATTTGTGAGTTAATATGCAGTGGAATGTATCCCCAGCTGCAGTAATGTCCTTTTATAAAAAAAAAAGTCAGAGAAGAGACCAATTTCGATAGCTTTCAGCTCCAAAGTAAAAGAAAATGCCGTATTTTTCCATTTATAAGACAACCCAATGTATAAGACAACTCATTCCCCTCTTCTAACCCCAAATTAGAAAAAGCAGGGATCAAAGGGCTCCCTTTTTGCTAAGCCCTGTGCCTTTTGAGAAGGCACGGAGCTTAGCAACAAAAAGGAAGAGAGCAACAACTCCCCTTCCTTTTTGCTAAGCACTGCACGTGTGTGCCCCTTGCCTTTTGAGAAGGCAGGGAGCTTTGCAAAAAGGAAGGGAGAACACCTCCCTTTCCTTTTTGCTAACCCCTGTGCCTTCGCAAAATCACCAACCCTCTCCTTCTTTCTCCTAAACCCTAACTGCCATTCCACATCTCCCAACAGACTCTCTAACTGTCCACCTGTCTAACTGTCTCACTGTCTGTCTAACTCCACCCCTCCTGCCCTATCCTTGGCTCCTCCCCCTTGAGCTTCTGTGATGGACAGGCAGGAATGGCGTCACGTAACTTATTTATCGTATTATGCTTTTTATATGTGTATTACAGTGTACTTTAGTAGATTTATTGATGGTCAACTTAATTCTCAAGGCTCAAACCATGAAGCATTTCTCTATCATGTTTCTCTTCCTAACATGTTTTTTATAGATGTATGTTAGCCTCTTTATTCTTTCTGTATGTTGGAAATGGAAAACTACTAGAGACAGTACATAAGGGGTGTTGTGGGGTTGGGAAATGATGGAATCTAGTGCTGGAGTTGGCAATGTAATTTCCTCTGTGTCACCAGAGGACACAGCTGCTTCCACGAGTAAAGTTTTACTTAAAAATTAATGCTGTGGGTAGCGCAGGACTTGTCTTCTCTCTTTCCCCTTCTTTTATGGCAAATTGGGTTTTTTAATATACAGAAGAAAGGAAAAGTGGGGTCGGGAGGAAATCATTAATTAAAGTCCAGTCCTACATGGTGCATCAGTAATACCGCTGCCACACTCAACAGGAAGAAATAAAGGGAGCCATTTTCCAAAAAGGGCATCTACTAAATATAGCAGGATTATTGCCTGTGGAACCAGCACTGCTGGGCAATACAGGATGGATTTATGTGCTGTGAAAATCTACCATTTATTTCTCCTTACAACAGTGGAAAAGTAGTTACTGTTGTGCTCACATACATCTTGGGGGCTTCCCTCACCATCTGGCTGCTGCTGCTAAATAAATAGAAATCAGGTAGTCTGACAGATCTATTGCAGATGATGGAGAGATCTACCAATAGATCCCATTTTATCTTCAGCTCACCCCATTTCATGGCACAGAAATTCTACATCTGCTAGTAACTCATATATTCTCTTTAACCTATCAGATATAAATTTGATAGATACAGTTTCTATTTTGCTCTAAAAATGCTCTTGCATTTTTTTTTCTTATTCTGTAGGGAAAAATTGCTGCTGAAGAAAAAGAAGACTTGAGGAATAACACTGAAGAAGCTACTTGGATGAGTAGTGAAACATTTCAAACTAAGAAGAAAGAAGTCCAGTAGCCAAGACTTCCAAATCCAGTTAAGAAGTTGGAATGGTATATACAAGGTGATACTAATATGTATGCTACTGAACTTTGTTCAGAGAAAAGCTTCATTTATTAAACAGTATTAATTTAACCTGATCTTTGTTTCCCAGTGTGGTGTACTGGATAGAGTGATAGAGTAGGACTCTGGAGAACAGAGTTTGAATCCCCACTTGGACATGAAAACTTGCTGGGGGAGATTACGTAATAAAACCACTCCTTAAATATCTCACTAATAGGGTTGCTATAAGTCAGTGGTTGGTGAACAGGGATAAATTACCCCAAATGGAGTAAAAATGAAAATCCTGAGAGTAATGAGCAGAGCACTACCGCCCCCACTCCCATCCCAAACCTCAAACTGGAAGCCACCTCTCCCTCCTTCCTTGGTTGCGGCACTTGTAAATCCTCTGCTTGATTGGTTACAGCTGTAGAACACCCCCAGGCAGTTAATCCAGCATGTGACTCTTTCCGCCAGAGGTGACTGCAAGCAGGAGGAGGGAAAGCTCCAGTTAAGGAGGGAAGGAAGGTGCGAGAGAGTGACAGGTGGCTTCACCAGCTTGTTTAAATGTATGTGGAAAATTGAGGGAGAGTGGATGTGTGTGTGTGTGTGTGTGTGTGTGTGTATGAGAGGACAGAGAGAGAGAGAGAGAGAGAGAGAGAGAGAGAGAGAGTGACTCAAAACTGAAAAAAGACAGGCAAGAAGGACGGAAGGCTTGAATTAAGGGCGGAAAGGGTGGCTTTATCAAGCTTGTTTAAATGTAATGAGAGGAAACTGACATACTGAACTGAAGCAACAATTTGTTGAAAATTGAGGAAGGGTTTGTGTGTGCGCGCGCATGAGAGAGAGACAGAGAGACCTGACTCTTTCATAAAACCATGAAAAAAGGAACCTTCTAAAATTTAATCTCCACCGAGAACAGCAGAAGTCTGAAGTGTGTAGC